CTGTAGCCCCTATTGTAACAGGACTGTTCAACATATTACTGTAAATTGTAAATGTATAGTATTTATTTATAATACTAATATTTATTTATAATAAATATTGTTACATTACGCGATGTGTAGGTTACTGAACATTTAGTACAAGCGGTAAATACAACACGTTTACGTCAGTTCAAGAATTGTGACCCACATAAAGTTCCAAATTGAGTCCGCAGTGAAGATACAGTCTTGTATATAATTCCTACGAACTGGGTTATTCCACTGTTAGTTTTTTTACTGTAACCCTGTAGCCACCAAGATGAATAAATAGAATTCGAAGATTCAAAACAGAAAGCTGTCTTTTCCGAAATGATGGACTACAGTCCTTGCTGTGTGTCGTGCAGAAATCAGCAGTGCTATAAAGCGGATCGTGAGAAATCAGCCGCAGTTTAAATTTGAATCTGAAATCTGAGCGCCGAGCGAGAGAGGGAGAGGAGTCGGAGAATGTGTCTGTGTGTGTGTGTGCGAGAGAGTGTGTGTGTGTGTGAGCGATAGTGTGTGGAAGTGTGTGTGTGAGAGAGGGACGGGCTCTGTAAAAAGTTCTGGTTGCCGCCTGGAGTGGACACAACAGTTAACCTGTTCGGACGGTTTTCATCTGGCGCCTAACCGCGCGGACACCGGACGTGGCACTGACCGCTCAGATTCCTTAATCTTCGTTTTTCAAGAAACACAATTCGTCCTGTTTTCTCCTCCGCTGTTAGACGCTTCCACGGTCTAAGACTGGCTCTAATTACGCTAAGGTAAGATCGTGATGTTTTACGGATTTAACGCGCGACAGATTAAACAACACATTACAGAGATTTTAGCTGTCATATTTGTCAGCCTTGACTGTGGTAAATTGTGCATCATAACTTGATATTAAATAATAATCTGTATTTTATATAGCCCCTTTTGAGATACACAATCTTTGGGCGTTTTGCCATAAGATCATCAGCAAAAGAGTCATAAACAAATAGACCTTAAATCTATAGTATTGAAGACATAAATTCTTATACATTCTCTATATGTGTTGTTTGTTTTCTTAAAATGTCGTTTAGCTTAACGTTTTGAGTTTTTAAAGTGAACGTAGTATGCCTGGAACTGACACTTCAAGAAAATCTAAAAATAAAATAAAAAACATTATTTCCTCCGGGCGTACTTACTGTACATGTTCGCCCTAAGCGTCGGCTGTAACTGAAAATGCTGCAACACGTTAAAATGCCAGCTTCCCTGTGTGTAGAGGAATATGGTTTCTTATTAAAATCTTCCATAGAGCCGTAACCACCGGAGGAACAGCCCGGGGACCCGATACTACCCTGGCACACGAGTAAACACAGAAAATGATTTCCACAAACGCTTGTTCTGTTGGGTCAAAACTCGTGGGGTTGAGTCAGTCGCGTTCCTGGGGGACAAATTGGGATTCTAATCGGTTTGTGCTTTTCAGCGGGGAGTCGCCGATTCCCACTTAAATCGGTTAATTTTCTCAGGAGAAAAAAAAAACTAGTTCTTACTTAACTGTCTAGAATGAGTCATCAATTCCCCGGCGGGGTTCCCGCTGCCCGGAGACCAGGGGGGTCAGCGCCGGTCCGTTCGGGACCCGGAATGTGGGTCTCCGCGGGTTGTGCTCGGGTGTCGCTCTCAGGGACATTTTTCTCGACACGGACCTCGAACCCGGTGTTACCCGCGCCTTTCGGAGGGACGCGGCTGGACTACACCGGGTGCCAACAGCCTCCCTGCGCCCCCCTCGCTCGGTTAGTGCCCTCTTCAGTGAACAGCAGCGGCCTGTAGTCTCCAGCTTCGCAGCTTGTGACCCGGGCAGTGCGCTCGGCCTTGCCGGGGGGGTGTTTGGAGAAAATCCTGTCATGTTTCGTCATTTCGTGTAGAAATGGCGCGTCTCTCCATTCCTGGTTCCGAGCGCACGGTGACCTTAGAGTCGGAGGGGCCATGAAGGATATCAGTGGTATGTTATTCAAATCTGACCTTTAATTAATGACAAAATATTACCTTCGATGAATGTCAAATCGTTACCACTGATTCGTTTTTTGTTACCTCAGCGGTCCTGAAATGAGGAGGACTTCAGGGAGGCCGAGACTCACCGGTGTTTAACGGTACTACATTAGCAGCGGTGTGACCCGCCGGTCTCTGTAGGCGACGAGGAATCTGCTGGTCTCGGTGGTGGAGTTTTTGCTCTCCGGTGTGAATCAGGACCGGTGTAAAACGAGTCGAGGTCTAGACGTGTTGTTTCTCTTTCCACCGGCCTCACCGGAACAGGCCTCTGTCGCGACCCGTCAACGGCACCGCCGAGAAGCCCTGCTGCTGTACGGGTCCGTTCGGGACGGGACCCGGACCGGACCGCGTCACAGTTGTTGTTGTTGTTGTTTTTTAACTACAGCTGTTATTCCCAGCTCTGTCTATAAGTCTATAAGCCACACAACACTGTCCCATGTAGAGGCGTACACCGCGTCTTTGTCAGGTGTACCGGTTCTTTCACACCGGGGATATTTTCTGATGCGGGAACAGATCCGATTTTCCGAGGTGACTGGCTGGCAGAATACGGGGGCACGGGAGTGACCAGTGGTGCATGACCGTTTTTCAGGAGGATACCCCCACTGACCTGCTTTTCGACACTTCAGGCCCGAGACAGTGGCTTGCTCGTCCGGAGGCGTGCGGAAATGGAATTACCGCACAGTCAGGGTAACTCGCAGGGGCCAGATGGACAGTAGCTGTGATTTTTATTAACGGACGAGCCCGGGGCAGAAGGATACAGCGCCGCTGGGGAGAAGCTTATACCCTGAGCGAAGCCCAGTCTGCAGCCCCACGAGCAGTTCGCACGCTGACACACTGCTACAGTTTGTGGTGAACGAGTGTTTTAGTCAAGGTTAAGACCGCGTTTCCAACCATGTGACTTTATTTTTTTGCACGGGGTTTTTGGTGATTTTTATTCCCGAACAAATCAGCAAAGCGTAATTATTAACATCGATTCGTTACCTCAGCAAAAGAAAAACAAAACAAGAACACGGTCCAGCGTTTGATTAACAGCTGGGGTCGACCGGTGTCTTGCATCCCCCGGACAGAGTTCGGAATTGCTGTCTTGTTCTGCTCCGAGTACTGTAAAAAAAATTACCGATCAACCGCAAACACGCAGAAGAGCACTTGAAAGCGAGGCCAGGAAGGACGTCTTTACACACAGGGTTGTGGGAGTCGGGAACAAACTCCCCAGCCGTGTCGTTAAAGCCGAGGCCCCGGTGGTTTTCAAAACACCTGGAAGAGATCCTTAGATCAATTAGGAAACTGGGCTCCTCTGATTTGTACCTTTTCCTGTGTTCTGAACACGCCGTGCGGAGTCGACATTTTAGTTCGCCAGCCGAGCTACGACTGTCTCGTCTCACATGTGATTAATCTAGTTCATCCAGTAAAAGACGTGGGGTTTTGTTTTTTTTCTTACTGCGCTCTGACATTACTCAGAAAGTCCGAGCCCGGAGACTTTCAGGTGTCTATGAGAGGCTGACACCCGGGGGAAAGGGTTTTAATGAGGCGTGAGGTGAGACCCGCGCAGGTCCGGCGGGACGGACGCGTGTCCAGCCCGGCGGACCAGTCCGCACGGAGTCCAGTCCGCAGATCGCCCTCAATGTATTCTGTTGGCTCTCGCTAGAGATTTTAACACCTAATCTGTGAAAAAGAACAGTTTTAATTTAATCGAATTGTCATTTTAATAAGAATTCTTGAATGGTTTTAAAGAGAGAGCGCTCATGTTCCTTTGATCCTTCGAGTCGTGTTAAAAAAACGTTTTTAAAGGATTCCAATTAAATTCAAAACGAGAATGATAGGATTTCTATAATTCTAAGTTCTGATTTGGGGTTAAACCTTTTTTAAGTAAATGTCGAATTCCGCGTTGCTTTTTAATGTCTGGATCCCACTAGAACACACAGTGACATGTATCATCAGGAGGGCTTTGGAAATAAAATGTGTTTGCAATCTAAAAAAAAAAAACATGAGTCATTTCGAACCCCGCGTTATTACTGCAAACAATGCTGGACATCATGAAAAAAATCCCCAACAAATCTAGCCAAATAAATCATTTAAAACTGTACTCGCGAATTGAGCTGATGACATTTGGCTTCGGCGCGGCACCACATGTGCGAGTTGCGCTTTTAGAGAAACAGTGAAACAATGACCGTGTTGTGAAAAACAGGACTTGCGAAATCGCGCTCTTGGAAGAACAAGAACAGGACTGTGTTGCCCCTGTGTGACTGAAAACTGTTATTCTTCACCCCCGTTTCTTCACAGTTATTCCCAGTAGCTCCGAGCTGGTTTCTGAGCGCGACGCGCACTTAGACACAGCTTGTCAGCTCCGGCGGGCAAGAAGCGCTGCCGGCCCGGTCCGGCCCGGCCCGGCCCGGACTCGCCTCGCTGCTGGAGACTCGCAGCGCCCACAGGCCGGGGAGATGCGCGCTGGGCTGGGCTGGGATGGGCTGGGCTGGGCTGAGAGGCCCCCAGAGCCCCGTGTCCTGCATTATTCAGTGCGCTGCTGAAGTGCGGTAAAGACTGGTGCGTTTTATTGATCCTCTCTGGCTGAAGTGTTTCAATTAAAGAGAGGAGGAGAGGGGGAGAGGAGGAGAGGCGGAATGAAGAGAGTGGGACTGGGACGGAGGGGGGGTGAGAGAGGGCGCGAGGCGTCATCGTTTTTATCCCTCGTTTTCGCTCATCAGCAGCAATAAGTGATGAACGACGACTGGGCAGCTCGCCCCGCGATTTAAAACCACGGTTCACTGCTCTGTCGTTATTATCTTCCTTCTTTTTTCTTTTTTTTTTCTTTTTTTTACGGCTTCGACAAAAAGCCGCGGCGCTCCGGCTCCTGCTAATGGGCTCCGGGTCTCCTCGCGCGAGCGGGCGGCGCCGTGGTTCCGGCCGCGAGCACACAGCAGGTGTCCGGGGCGGGGGTCGGTACCAGCACACGGGGGGGCGAAAAATACAAGACGCAGAAAGTTCGTTATTAAAGTAGTGCAGCAGGACATGTACCTTGTCGGTACGGTATTTCAAGTGAGTGATTTACAGTATGGAAACTAAAATACAGAATTTCCAACCTCCTTCTCCCTAATCTTTCCTCAGAAAATGAAGTAAAACTAACGGACAGACGGAGCTAAAAAGACCTAATAAAAGAGCGCAGCAAAGCATATAAACAGTTTCGAAGAAGCAAAAAAAAAAAGTGGAAGGGCAGTGTTTTCGGGTATTATCCGAGGAGAGAACAAATCTAGCAACCTCTTCTGTTTCATACAGAAATACTCGCGACAGGCTAAGGTCTTGGGGGGTAATACTGAGGCTCAAAGTCTCAAAATAGCCCAGAGATGGGGGCACCAAACTTCTTAAAAGGTCATGCTGGGTGTAGTATGAATCCAACTTTTCCCAACTTCAAAAACTGCAGCATTTCTCTGACTTGGGGGGGGGGTGTCTTGAATTCTTTTTTGCTCGTGAAAAAAAAAAACCCACACACACACAACCCCTGCAGCTGCAATAACAATCACACGTGGGCTTTTCCACGCTGTTTTCACACACCCCGTGCGCGATTTCGAGGCTACAAGGGGATATTTTATTTCTGAGAGTTTCTTTATGCAAGCGGTGGTCCAGTTTCCATAGTGTGGGGAGCTGGATTATCCTGCACCCTGCTCCTCCCCTTCTTGATGTAAAACAGCTTTACATAAAGGGGCTCCTTTAAGGAGGTGCTAGCAGTCGTCTGTATGTACCCGAGAGAAAATGGGCTCTAACGTCTGATGCTCAGCCTCCCGACCAAGAGAGGAAACAACAGGAGATACCAAAGGGTTCAAATCTTGTGCAGTTCTCAGGCTTGGACTTTTACTTAGAAGTGCATTTAAATCTAAGAACAGGAGGCACGTTTTACACAAAGAGTGGTGGGAGTGTTGAACGAGCTACCTTCCTTTAGCTTCTTTCAAGTCCAAAAAGTGTGTGAGATTCCCAGATCAATCTGCTACTACCAGCCGAATTGGCTAGAGGGGCAAAAATGACCTCTCATGTGTGATCCTCTGTTCTTATTTTATGGAACAGCTACAAAGATACTGGCATTACTTCCAATTTGTTTAGATACATTGGCTTTTCTATTAATATCCGAAAAGAATTAAGACTACATAGGCCGGCAGATTTAGAGATCGAAGAGTAGTGTGTCATACTCATAGTTTGAACAGGAAGCATGAAGCTTCACAAACAAACAGATACGAATGAGAGACCACTTGGCCCATCTGTCCTCTTTCACATTTGGCAGCTGATTGGTCCAGAAGTCTCATCCATCTGTTTCTCGAAAGCAGTCAGAGTACCTGCTTCAACAACATGGCCGAATAGCTAGTTCCACACTCCCGCAACACTTTGTGTAAAGATGTGCCGAGTTCAAAATGCTCTTCTATTTAGCTTCGGCTTTTGTACTGTATGTACTTCAATGAGGATTTTTTGTTTCCAGTGAGCAGAATAGGGGATCAGGGAACTCCTTGTTTTCACAGAGGAACTCCTGTGCAAAGTTTTTTGGGAAAAATCGCTCCCTCAACCCCTTGTTTTAAAAAACAAATTAAAATAATCTATTAAAAAGACACCAGATGAAGGACTCCATAAAAAAGCACTTTCAAGCTGAGCTGTTTACAGGAAGCTTGTGAAAATTTACAAGACAGCTAAAAAATAATTCTGGGAGAGGTTAGATTACATAAAATAAAATACACGCTGGCTTCAGTAAAAGGCTGGAATCAGCACTGAATCAATCAGAGTCGATCTCTGGCCTCCTGCCCGAGAGGATGCTGGAGCGTGCCCGATGCAGGAGAGGAAAGTGTGGAGTGAAACATGTATCCCGTCACCCCCAAGACGGTAGTGACTCGGGACAAACCGGACTATTTCATTTCCTGGGGGCGTGTGTGGGGGGTCAGTGTGGAGACCACAGCAGCAGTATGGGGTGGCGTCCATAGGTATGGGCACATTCATTCACTGAGCAGCACACTCTCACTTCACCCACCTGAAAATGAAATATTTTGTGATCTTAAATACAATCGTTCTTTTCTGATTGAGTTTGGCGCCCAATGGCAATGGCCCTCTTCGTTGTCAGCGCTGATGGCTAATTAAGTGTTCAGGTGGGCTTTAATTAGGGGGAATTCAAATCCGGCACCTGGGAGCGTGGCCAGGCTGATGTCCCGGTGTCCGCAGGCATTGGGCTATTCCACTTACAGTGCAGCCAGCAGGTGGAGAGGACTGTGAATTAAAACAGGGTTTTGTAGCCGATTGCAGGCTTTGTGGCTAACACCTCCAGCCTAGAAAGCACGGGGTCGTGCCCCCCGCCGCCCGTTCCGGCCCCCACACCTGGGGCGCGAACCCGGGTCTCC